CACCACCACCACCACCGCCAGCAGCTCCACCACCACCATCGACATCAACTCTGACACTCCCGATTAGTCCTGCCCGTACTGTCCCCACACATCCACCTCACGTACCGATCTGGCCGCTCACCTGCGAATCATCGCACAGAAACTGGATGATCAGTGCCTGGAGGACCAGCATACACTCGCCGCATCTCCCTCAACTGTCCTCACTGGACGCGCACATTTACCCACCGTATGTGCCTAATATGCCACCTGCGCATTCATGCAAACCTGCGGCAGACAACCGCCGGCTTCAGTACACCATCACACCTTACCCCACCAGCCCCTGCAACACTCAAGATCACCAATCGTCACATGACACAAGCACGCAATTGGCACCTCTTACTGAATCAAGAAGCAGGCTCCTCGACCCCTACTTCATGTAACTTCGCTGCCAGTGTGACCTGAATCTGAGACCATCATGGTGCACCAAGCGCCGTGGCTTAAAAGGCTGCCGACGGACGCCTCAATTCAGTCCACGCAGTCTGCCAGTTGTGTGTGTGTGTTTGTGCGGAGTGGCGGACTGATATGCTGAGAGTCAGACTGTGACGGCTTCTTCACAACGTGACCTCTGACACTCGAACGCATGTGACTATACCTTAATATCGGGCTCAGGTGAGGGAGGTTGAGAGAGTCAGGTAGATGCTTCACAAGTCGATTATCACTATAAACTAATTCACGCACGAGTCACCGTGCTTGCCCTCACCCTACCGTAGAGCACACAGTGGACATCGTCGGCAACGACGGCTAAACTCTTAATGATGCAGACGGAAAACCGACAAAGCAAAGAGTACTGGGTTAGTCATTGCTGACTTATCCTCCGACGTGACAGTTAGTGATATGCATCCGTGTTCAAATCACAGTTCAGCCAAAAAGTGGGGTCTGATAGGTCTGATTAACTATGCCTAACGCACCAGACGTCGCCGACCCAGCCTCTTTTGTCTTTAATGGTATTATCTGCTGTAACATTACTGGTTGCGATGCGTTTGCCTGAGAGAGAAGGAAATGCTCAACGGTACGGAAGGAGTTTGTTGTCTAACTACCTTAATTTACGGTCCTTATCGTAAATGACAGAACGGCGGTTACTGCAACTGGCAGATTAACTATCAATGAGGTGTAGTAAAGGTGCTTCGGACGAATTTCTGAGCTCTATTCGCGAGAGTCTGTAATTTGTGAGCCAATGAGCTGTACTACAGATAAAAAGCCATCTCGTATAAGTACTTGTATTAGATGCCTTAGGTAACTAAAGAAAAAACTGTTTCTGTCGTGTGGTCTATCAAATGACAGATCAAGTATTGGAACCTCACAGGGACCAGTCTACTAGCGAAAACAGCCTAGTCTGCGAAATTTCAGAAACGAAATTCTCGCATTATTGTGGCGGTATATCTAACTTTGCAGAACTCAGGCCTTTTTCAACCGTACTGGGGGAAGGTTGTTTTAGCAACTTCACTCTGAAACGCAGTCTTCAGCGACAGGAAGTGTGGAGAAGAATTAACCGCCCTGACCAAAGCAGATCCTTTCAAAATGCGATCGTTGTAGAAAAAACAGTCGTTTTGCAATACACTGCCGGAACAGTCCATCTGACTGGTGTCCAACCCGCTCGGCCAGCACACTGATTTGCCTGATCAGAAAAGTCCAGACGCCAGTTTGAATGCTAACTATGGGTTTGGAGCAAATCAATGATGGCGCTAAGTGCACCTAACCTGCTTAGAAACAGTTACCTAGATTTAAATCGAAATTCAATTTTCTCCAGGAACTCATCTACCATTAATCCATCTGCAAGGCATGTAACTTCATAATGTTGCGGTTATGCCGAAGACAAAAGTCCCCTTCAGTATAATGTGCTGGTTAACTGACAACATGCTACATTGGATTAAAACAGTAACAAATCCAATGTTTTCGTATATTTTAGAGAAGGGATTTGTGCGAATCCTCTGTAACAGAGTGAAAGGGAGGCTGACATAACTGCAGGTTCCACTTTTTTACAGAATGCAACCAGGCAACTTCCTCGAACTAAACGGACAACGTAGGACAATCAAAAGTTGAACAGCTGAGAGAGTGTGAGTCTGACTAGTAGTACCGCATACCTCGAGCGTGTCCGAGGCCATTACCCATCTACTGCGAACGCTGCGGATTGACGCTGCTGACCGGCCTGAAACGACAATATGGCATCTGGATCATGGGACTCAGAGACACCCAACGAGGAGTTGAGACAGCGCATGGTTGCTGACAGAAGCGAACAGGCGAGTTTCATAAAGCAGTTCAGAATAAGAAGAATAAGAAGAAGAGGCGATCACTGGAATAAGAAGTTTATTGGCCTGACGTTTCGGATTCTCACTCGAACACACCACCAGAGACAGTCGCAGGTGATGATATCTCTGATAACATCACACGGTCCCACAACTAGACACACTTTTGCCTTCGAGAATGACGAAACTACTGATCGGATGACCTATCTCGTGACTGGAAAGACATTGCTGACCCAACATTCAAGCGTAACCTTAAAGAATCGTATTCTAAGCCCTTGAGGTGTGTCACGCCCTGCACACAGGCCTCAACTCAGGAAGTCATCGAGATCACGGCGATGGGTGAACAGACACGGGCGATACCACTGGTTAGGACACTGAAAAGGCTATTAACATTAGTGTAAAGTCGGCACTAGTTGCAGTATGGTACAGTAGGTTGACGGCAGCTCCATTTGCCACACAGGATAAGGGGAAGCAGTCATTGCGATGACATCCAACCATCCGACCTACAGTAAATGGGCGCGGGCGGACGACGCCTGCCAATAATCTCTCGACAGTACCAACAGCACCATTAAAATCGGAGTTTGGCGTTCATCTTCTCCTTGACTGAGAAGACTCGTTTACTTCTTAATGGTCTCAAAATAAGCCAGTTATTTCTGAGAACGCCCCTTCTCAGCCAGGGGACCTTTAGTCGCTTCAAGGACGTCAGGACTATCTAAAAATATAACAGATTATGTTTAAACCTGTATTATCAAAAGCAAAGTAAACAATAATCTTGAATGACTCAGGAAGAATCTCAAAAATTGCATTTAACTCTCCAGGCATCCTTACGATAAGGCAGCAATATTGGAAAGTGAAACGGTAGTTCAAATTTTTATTGTACTCTAGGTTCCATGTTGTCTTAACTCCGGACATACCCGCTAACGGAACCGTCTACCCAAATATTTTGGTTGTGAAAGTCAAATTGATATTTAGATCCCTTATCACAATATTATGAAAGCCCCTTCCTTGGCGTACTCACCTTCACGACCATTTTTACACTATTAAAAGTCTTCGCAGAGATCTTAAAACTCCGCTGGGGCCTCCTTAGGGTTCTTCAAAAAGTACAGTTAAATGTTTCTAATCGAAGTTAAGCAATCCTGCTGTGGTCTAGCACCATCCCATTACTCTACGTCAGTCCTGTAACTCAGCGGTCTGAAATTTTAGAAGGCCTTGAGAATTCACGTAGAACGGGTTGTAGTAGGGTGCTTCCTCGTTCATACCACATACAATGAGCTGAACGGGCGCAGTTAAAACTCACCAATAAGGGGAATGTGAGCAGTTTTGGGCTTTTTTTTCCCTTTTTTTGCGAACCGTAATCTGCGCCTCAGTCGTGTACCCTCACCAACAAAACAAAGGCGTTTATTTTATTGTCTCTCCCACCCCTTAAAGACGTAATAGAGATTGTGCTTCAGACCTATTTCAGAAAAAGCATGGAGAGACTGGATAATTCATTTTTGGTTTATGGGTTCCACGTCAGCCGGCCATGCCGCAGTTCCAAGATCGAGAAATCTGGATATTACAGTTTAGGTGCAGGTGATCGGTACGTCTAACGCTGTGTCAGCGCTCTCTGTTTCTCATTGCTAATTAACTTCTTCTGGAGACCTTAGAAGCTTATTCTCATCTTCCCTCCGTTGCTGACCTTCTCACTTTCCCCTTCCTCCCAGTGGAAGCGAAAAGTGCTAGATTGAAATATAGCAATTCCATCTGAAATTGTTTCCCGCACCCCACTGTATCCCGTGAACGTGACAACCCTTAAAACCACTTCAACAACACTGACTACTGCCTACCTGACCTTGTAAGACTATCTGAAAACGAAAACTCACGCAGACGACGGGCAGGGCCCTTGATATTTTGGCCTGCCGCTCATTACCGCAAACAGCGGTCGTCAGTTCTAACTGTTCGGCACTGTTACACCCTTTATCGTTATACGTTTTTATGCATGCAGCACATGCAATGGTAAAGGACGTGACACGGTCTACTACCGAACAGCTGGAAATGGCGATCCACGCAACGATCTCAGCGACGTGCGCCGGCCGTGACATCTATGGTGCACAGAGCAGGGTACTCACCATCCACTGCCGAATTCTGTAGTGGAAACGTTGATTCGGCGTGGGCTCAGGGCCAGAACTTCCCTGCCACGTGCGCTGCGTGTGACTCAGACCTCGACTTGACGACGCCGTGACCCCAATCGATATTCTTGTCGTCACTATTGTGGCCGCAGCCAGATATGGCTAATGCACGCGTTAACACCTCGCACCACTAACTGGCGCGTGTGGCGTGGCAGAATTTTTGCTGCCACCAATGTCGGAGCCGTTTTGCCTTCCCCGCCGTCTTGCGTAGCAACGGCTGCGAGAGCTGCAGGACGCCTGAATAGCCCACAAGGCCGAGGAGATCTAAAGGGATGCCAACTGCAATGAAACAAGGAACTTCTTCGCTGCGATCAAAGAGATCTACGCCCTCCCCTCTCCCCAACGAAAGAAACTCCATCGCTCCTCAGCTCTGATGAATCAATGCTCCTGACGGGGAAGTCGCAGATTCTGAAGCGATGGGCCGAGGACTTCAAAAACGTCCTCAGCCGTCCCTCCACAATCTCCGAAGCCAACATCGACCAGCACCCCCAAGCGGTACTCAACGTCGACCTAAATCACCCGCGCTCAGAAACCATCAGCGCTGTCCAACAAATCTCCAGCGATAAAGCACCAGGCCTCGGTGTGATCCCAACGGAAATCTACAAACACGGCGATGACCGCCTGATGGACCGACTCGCGACGCTATTTGAGGAGATTTGGCGCTGGAAACAGGTTTCTCAAGATTTCAAGGACACATCCATTGTTTGCCTCCAAAAGCGAAAAAGGAGCGGGCAACTGCGTGATACTCACAGAAAGATCTTGCTACTCAACATCGCCGGGAGGATTTTCGTCCGCATCCTCCTCGGTTGCCTCAACGGTCACCTAGATCAAGGACTTCTGCCGGAAAGTCAATGTTGCTTCCGACGACACCGGGACACCAGCAGCATGGTCCTTGCCGCTCGCCAGCTACAGAACAAGTGCCAGGAGATGCAAATCTACCTTTACACTACTTTCGTTGTCTTGACAAGAGCCTTCAACACAGTGAGTTGCGAGAGACTGTGAAAAATCATGCAGAAATTCGGTTGTCCTAAACGATCCACGCACATGGTGCGCCAGCTCCGTGACATGACGATGGCGCGCGCCATGGACAACGGCCCAATCTCCAAGGCATTCGCAGTGACCAATGGAGTGAAGCAGGGCTGCTTTCTCTTTCCCACCCTCTTCAGTTTCACGTTCTCTGCCATACTGATGGACACCCACCGTAAAGAGTGGCCTGAGATACGCATCGCCTACAGAACTGACGGACATCTCAATTGCAGGCGTATGCAGGCCCACGCGCAACTGTCTACGGCTACCGTCCACGACCTGCACTTCGCCGACGACTACGCGCTCAACACTACGAGCGAAGAAAACCTATAATGGAACATGGGCCTCCTCGCCGCCGTCGGGTGCGCAACTTTGGCCAGACTATCAACACGGTGGTCACAAACCAACCATCACCTAGCACGCAACACAGCACTGTCCCCCGAATCAGTGTCAACGGCAACAACCTCAAAAAGCGTTGGCAAGTTCGCTTGCCTGGGAAGCACACCTTCCTGCAGCACAAGAACCGACGATGAAATGGCCCACCGGATCCCTTAAGCCAGCCAAGTCTTCGGTCAGCTGCAGAATACTAAAGTTGAAGTAGGATGACTGGATCCCCGGTACGGAATTCCTAGAACGGATCGGAATCCTCAGAATTCGCGCAACGCTAAGGGAACTGCAACTAAATTGGAGGGACCATCTCGTAAGGATGGAAGATACGCGTATACCACAACAACTCCTCTACAGTGGTGTCGTTACGGACGTCCACCGATAAGGAGGACAAAAACGGCACTGCAATAACACTTCGAATAATTATCCGAAACGACTGCAGATCAACCCGGGGACATGGGCAGCTCTCGTCCAGAACAGGCCGGTATGGAGAGTAGAAGTGAATACCGTCGCAGCCATCTACGAAGGAAATCGGATTGCCACCGTCAAAGTCAAAAGGGAGGTTGGCAAATGATATGTGTCCCGGCCTTTCCATGGCAACAGTCAGTCGCTTCCAACAAGCCCGCGATGACAACGCACATCCCGCGCGAACCGGCCTCGTAGGACACCTTCGGACGTGGTGCAACAACCCGACAACGCCAACTTCTCCCACTCTCGCCCCTGCCCCAAACGCCGTGACGACGACCCCCCACTCGTCACCAATGATTACATTGCTGCTGTCTCACCACCATCAATCACCGAAATCGTTTACCCTGTACTAACCCTCGCGTCGACTACAGCAACTAGTTCTGTCAACAACACAACATCTCGCATCCTCCTCGCCGATGGGGACGATGTCCAACTCCTCGCATTGCCTCCGCACATTCACTCGCCGCATGGGTCCTTTCGGTCACATACTTATCCAAGAGAGCGGAATTGACCGCCGTCTCGACACACTTAGCACCTCCTGCACATCCACCATACCTATTTTAAACCACACCCCACCGCAATGAACAACCACCACCATCAGCTTCACCACACTCAGCACATCTTGCACATTAACCACGCTCAGCCCAATTCCCACCCAATCGTCTGACGCACCCACCGCCAGCAGTTTCACCATCACTGTCGAATGTGGGTTTCGTTCTGTAACTGGCGCTTAGACTTCTTTGATATTCGAAACCAGACTTTGAACATTACAACACAAAAGCCTCAATTTTGACTGAGTAACTGCAGCATACACGTTTTCGTCCATTTCATGGGATTGAATGTAAAAGCCGGCCGGAGCTGATAAAGATGAACTGCTGTCCATCATGCCCAAGCTGTCAGGGTCAAAGGCTTTCTCCAGAGGAATGGCCTCTGGGTGTGTATAATTTTCCCGTTCAGTATTCTGAGACTTTCTTCACCCAGGCTCGGCCCCCTGAGGACTTTCAATTTGAGCCCCATCCATTTCTCACTCTCCGCGGGCGAAAAATCCTGCTGAAAAAGACTGTTGGACGGGAATTTCGGGACGAGAATTTCCTGCTCAACAGTAGTTGCTCTTGATCCCCATTCCAGAAGAGAATATTTAGCCGTTTTGGTAGGTCCGACTCGAGCGACTAGCACGAATCTCCGTTCCGGCAGGTTGCTCCTCGAATAATCTAAAGTAGAACGAACGTTCCGGGCTGTCAAAGTAACTATACTCACCCTAGCAGCCTGGAGGGTGGTAAAGAAGATGAGGACGAGGGTTATTGTTTGTTTGATGGTTTCTGTCAGTAGTTGTAAATACGCAGGTCACCGTCAACGTGCAGGTGGCGTGATTTTTAACCGTCTCTTTAAAACATCTCTGCCAGCTGATTGGCCAGTGAGCGGTAAGCATTGCTATCACCAAGTCAGGCTTTTTAGACATCACAGACGGCTGCCGAACTTCAATATAGGCCGCGGCTTGATTTAGTGGGTGAACGATCTGAGTTAACCTGGGCCGTTTTCGGGATTGCATGTTGCCTTCTCTGGAAGACTTTTGAAGAAGCAAGAGGAGGGTAGGAGAGCAGAACTACTGCATGTGAGGACACAAACAGTATCGGATAACTTCTTGTGGTTTGGCCTACCGGTCGATGCGGTTGCCGGGGCCTGGCCGATAGGCCGAACCTAGTTTCTGGGAGTCCCAGATTGTAGTTGTGTGCCGTATATTGCAACTACCACATACACGAGGCAGATTATGCAATCTACCACACCTACATGGTTTGACCACTAAGTAGACACCCCCTTGCCCGTGTGAGACAAGTAGGAGTGCATGGTGCAACAAGCGAAAATTGGCATTAACATTTCTAAAGGCCACGAGTTAGAGGATAGACAAACGTGCATGGCTGAACGGTTACTCGCTGTCGGCTGTAGGGTCGGCCCGCTGGGTTACGGGCTACGTAATCAGCACCATTTACCTCAATATAAGACCCGGCAAACCTATTAAATTCCATGAACTCCATTATTGCGGAAGACGTATTCGATAGATTCAGCACCCATAGTCTGCGGATATTGTTTTAAACAAGTGGTAGTTCACTTCAACAAAGAATAATTGTACAGAATTTCTATATTCCTGGGTGAATTATTCCGGACTGTAATTACGTTCACAGAAAAAACCGATGGCATTTAGTTGCGCATTCCAAAGGAGAAAATGAAATGACTTCGCAGTGACTGTTGCGTCGAGAGCGGTCCATATATTTCGAAGGATTAAGGGAAGTAAAGATACGACAGTTACAGTTTAAGCAGTAAAAAGTTCCCTTTCAATCAGTTTATCCACGAAAGGTCAAGGTTTTTGAGCCTAAAACTTTTGTGGTACGTGAAATTTCGGTGTTTCGAGGTGGAAACTCCTTTGTTAGAAAGATGAGAGACAAATACTATTGCTTTCGCCAACGAGCACGCATGAGGCCAAATAACAACGAACGTTACTCCAGGCAAAGTTTAGTTTACATTTTATAAGTGCAGGTTTTAATATCGCTGGTTTTGGAATTTCGTGGAACAAATACGGTCGGTCAACCTGTTTTGGGGTCAATCAGGATACGATGCCCCGAAATAGTGAGGCTGCTGGAGTATGATGTATCCAGATCCCCAATAACTCCGAGCTTAGGCAGAGGCACCTCAAGGACTGAGCGTCTCACACTTGAGGCTTGGTACTCAGATGCCAACTCCATCAACAGGCATATAGACCTTCCTTCAGCCTATAAAGTCCTACGTCACTACATACACCGTGACGAAGACAAGACAATCATACGGAGCCTAAGAATGCCGAGCAAACACGGACTGTCGACCACTTCACCCAAAAGGGGAACGCAAACGCAACCAACCCCAATTGAGGTGACGACACGTAATACAGGAGTCCACCAACAGGCGACGGCCAGTAGGCCAAGGCAGCGAAAGAAGAAAAAAATAGATCGGCCCAAGGCCAATTAATGCCGCAGTCTATTCAAAAAAATGCTGATCGATTTTTTCACTTGACGCTTTGACAATGGAGAGCAGCCCCAGCTCTTCGAAACGTCAGCCAGAAAAGTCCTCTGGTACGGTGAGCAATTCATTCTCCTCAGAGCGCATTTATGTCGTGACCGCCAATGCTTAGTTGGGGTCGAAGATAGTCGCGGGCAAACATAACTGAGAATTTGTTCTGAGAAAGGGAAAGACGTCATGTACATCACTATTTGACAAATGCCCGAAGATCGTTTTTTAAAAAATTCAAGCACGTGTCGCTATCCGCCGGTTTATATAGTAAGTAATTTTCAGATCATTAGCACAGGTGAATGGCCAGTCATTTTGAAATAAATCTGACACATCCTTGACAAAATGCAAAATAATATCAGACCAAACACACTACCCTGGATCATTCCACTCCTCAAACATATGTGTTTGAAGTCAAAGTTGGAATCGAGAGAGGTAAAGCACACTCATCACCATCAAAATACTTCGTGAAACCTAAAAAGACTGCATAGAGGGTAAAACCACTGTCCCTATATCGTAAAATACTATCCAAGAAACAGTGTTGGCAGGTATTACATGAACGACATTTGGGAATCAATACTGATCCGCACTCATCATGTTATCCTCTGTTAGATGACGCATCCTACGATCTTTGGTCAGGACCCCTAAGATTTTCACTTGATGGAAAGTCGCCAAATGACGGGGCTTGGCTGGGCTTGGGGAAACGTGAAACTTACGATTCCTTCCTCCAGCTAGACGGGTTTCACTTTCGTGAGCGAGATTAAATATCTTACACAGGAGGGACGGAAAATTTTTACCTGCTGCAGCTTTTTAACTGTTGGCCGCGCACAATTTGGCCCAAGGTTTTATAGCTTGGTGCTGAGACCAGGGTGATCAAGAAGGCCCTGGCTCCAGGTGGAGGCTCATCATTGCACTCCGGTGAGCTGAAGCCTGCGACGGACCCTAAGTGGGTTCGCTCGGGTGCACAGTTTTTGATAGTGGGGAGGCCTTCGGGCTATCCCTTGAAAAAATGCCATCATGGATGCCCTGGATGAAGAAAGACAGTGATGCCATAGAGCAGGTGCAACGACGGGCCACAAAACTGGTGGACGGTCTCAGGACTCTGTCATATCCAGAAAGACTGATCCAGTTAAATTTGTTCCCCCTATCCTATAGAAGAATGAGGTGTGACCTATTATGGACATTCCGCATTATCCACGGGCATGAATGTTCGCTCAAAACTGACGACTTCTTTGAATTCACGACCACGAGTCACCTGCGCGGTCACCCTTACAAAGTCAAGCGGGAGCGTACGCGCCTAGACAATCGGAAGTTTTCCTTCAGTCAGCGTGTTGTTCGGCCATGGAACTCACTCCCAAGTGAAATAGTGACATCTGATACAATCGCTGTATTCAAAAGGCAGCTGGATCGTTTGATAATTGATAAACGACGACTTTCACAAC